ATATATATATATATATATATATATATATATATATATATATATATTCCTTTTTATTCGGAGTAAATTTCTAAAGTCGGTATTCTAATGATATTCTAATGATATTTAAATGATATTCTAGGTTTTATTCGTAAACATTAACAAATGTTTGTGAATGCAATCTTAGAATATAATTATAAAAAAAACTATAGAAATAAAAAGAAATCTTTTCCGTGTGTTTCCGTGTGTCACTATAATATATACTTTTTTAATATATTACACTGAAAAAAAGTACTTGAAAATACTTGAGAATAGAAAGTTTATTTCTACGAAGTAAAGTATATTTCTGTAAGATAAAGTTTATTCCTGTAAAATTTAGACTTTATATCCTACAAATAAATTTTCAAATATTTTTTCTCAATATAATGAACCAAAATTAGAACCCGACCATAATTGGGACCGTTACCTTCTATCGTTCGTCCCTTAGTAAACGTCGCGATTGCAAGCCGTCGCGTGCGAGAACGTCGTTATCCTCGCGTCTTTCTCTCGAAACACCTCTTTCTAATCTTATTGCGCATCGTGCGCGTCACCTGCGCTCCTCTTCATTTTTACGGGCGGCGCTTTGAAATTCTTGGAGGAATCGCGGCCAGGAGTTGCTGAGGTATCGGCCGATAAAACTTTATCGACGGCGTCAATCAGGGTATCCAGCGAGTTGGGCCGCCTCTCATCGACTTTCGATCCATTTCGAGCCGCGGATACTTTGCCCCCGATACGCTCCTTGTCTGCGTGAATCAGTGCATCGCGAACGTCGTTGTCGGGACGTCGCGGTGCGTATCGGGGTTTCCTCGAGTAACGCCACGGCCTGATCAGCCTGTTCAGATTCACGTTCACGTTGGAGTTTATGTTGGAGTTCTCGTTCAAGTCCTCGCCGGAATTCTCGTCGGAGTCCTCGTCGGAGTCATCGTCGATCGACGAGTGCATCTGCCGGGGATTTTTCACTTCCGCCGCGCTGGCCAATAATCCCTCATCGCCGGACAATTCGCAAGTGTCGTCGGTGCACTTGTCAGCTGTTTCCCCGAGATCGCTGTCGCTCTTCATTCCCGCGTCAGCTTCGTTCGCGATCGTCGTCTTGCCTTTCCGGCCAGAAACGTTCTCTGCTTCATGTCCACTGGATGTCGTGGCCTCTTTGCCATCTTCCACCGTCTCTAACTTCGCGCTCTTCTTCTTATTGTAATTAACGTTACGGTTATAATTGATGTTACGATTCTTATTACGACTGATATTTTCCCGATTTTCTTCGACACCGGCCCGATCCGCCCGATGTGGCTGGAGACTGTCTTCATTGTCCCTCTTGTTGATCAAAACGTCGGAATTCAACGATTGCTTGGTACAATTATCTTCTGTCGAGGTCTCTTGCCCTTCCCTTAAATCTACGTTCGAGAGATTTGTGAAGCTGCGATTGTCTTCTTCGTCATCATCTTCCTCCTCCTCCTCGTCTTCTTCTTCCACTATCTCTTCTTTCGTCTCCACTACTATCTCCTCTTCTTCATTTTCTTCTACATCAGATCGATCTTCCTCTGCGGTATCATCTGGGGAAATCACATGAGATTTTTTATCGCTAGAAGCTAGCTTTTTACCGTTTAGAGCTAATAAGCTCGAATTCACATTCGTATGTGGATTAATACTGTCTTCTTCTTCCGTCGCTCCTCTGGATTTTTGCTGGTTTTTACAGGACTTGCCGACGCACTGATAATACTTTCCGTCGCGCTCGCCCCATGAATTATACAAAGTTTTTCCCGTGGAATTGGATGTCCTCTGCTTCTTCTCGTCGCCGGACTCGCCGCGTCCATTACTGACAACGTCGTCCACTCTCGAGTTGGATCCTCTCGTCGTATCTTCGATTGCTGTCGATTTATTTCGTTCTGATCTGAATGTATCGTCGGATGACGTCGGATGCTCGTCAAGCAGTTCTTTCACCGCGTTACTTTCCCTCTCGGGATCACTCGCGCGTCCCTTCTTCCTCCTCTCATGATCACTAGCTAATTTGTAATTGAAACTGTTCACATTTAGATTCGTGTTCAAGTTCGAATTGGATCTCCGCCTCTTGTCCCTCACTTTTATTATATTCCTTCTCGCTTGATGTTCGAATCCTAATGAATCCACGAACGATTTCGTGAGGTCCAAGCCGCCCTCTCGCATATTCTCCTCTTCCTCCTTCTCCTTCTCATCGGACAATGTCTTTTGACTTTCAGGAGTATTCCCCGGATCACTCGCGCGTCCCTTCTTCTTCCTCTCATGATCACTAGCTAATTTGTAATTGAAACTGTTCACATTTAGATTTGTGTTCAAGTTCGAATTGGATCTCCGCCTCTTGTCCCTCACTTTTATTATATTCCTTCTCGCTTGATGTTCGAATCCTAATGAATCCACGAACGATTTCGTGAGGTCTAAGCCGCCCTCTCGCATATCCTCCTCCTCCTCTTCCTCGTCGGACAATGCCTTTTGACTTTCAGGAGTATTCCCCGGATACCCGCCGTACGATAAGGTCGATGTGAACTTATGCTTGTCACGACTCCGTTTCTTGTCTCTCGCTATCAGCTCTTCGACGTCGGCCTTATCCTCCATGATATCGATAACAATTTCCTTGAGTGGGTTTTTATAGACTCGACAATCCCATAGCGATCCACTTCTGAATTCGATCATCTTGATTTTCGCGATCACCCTCTGAATTTCGATGATCAGGTTACGAAGCTGGCGTTTTAAGGAAATTTCCTCAGGACTTAACTCGGCGTTGAGTTTCAGCCGCCAATTCGGTGCCTGGCATCTACAGATCACTGCGTGAAACAAATACGTAAAACTTTATTACGCCCATAAAAATCCTTTGACCGCGAGATGCCGTTGTATTTTAACGCCGGTAATATTTAGTTTATGTCCTTCGCTATATTGCTTGTATTATGTTACATATCGGCAGCGTTCATGTTGGACGATAAAGGCGAGCAATATTAAGAGATTCTTCGTTATCATGAGTAAGAAAGTCGAATTTCAGAGTAAGAAAATTACTAAATAATTAAGATGCGCGGAAATAGGAAACTTAAGAAGAATACACCGCCTTCAAAAGCTTAGAAAATCCTAAAATATGAAATAATTTCAAATCAATATTCATATGCGCTTACAATTCTGTAACGTTTTCCATAATACTTCATATTTATAATTTCTGTAATTTTCTGTAATATTTATTTAACATTCTAACGATATTAGAAGTCAGCGCGGAAACTTAATTAATTAAATCAATACCTTTTTCTTTATTATTTATCTCCCTATAATTATATAGTCAGTTACCTACGTAACTTTTTGCATCGACTTTTAATGTCGTTGGAATATTAATATAGGATTGTAGGTACATAAGAATATTGAGTTAAAATTATTTCATATTTTTTAGAACCTTTAGGGTTTTCGAAGGAGATTTATATCATTTAAGTTTTTTATTTCATATTTTCTAATTATTTATTAAAAATTTGCTTTTGAAGTCAGTCGAAAGCAAACGTTTTATATTTCTGGATGTTCTGGGATTTTAAAAAAAGTAATGGAATTTCCCGATTTCCAGATCACTTGAACAAATCCTAGGTAATGACACTAATTTAAGAATCATGCAAATAACATTGAACAGAAGTTACAAAAAAGTTTCATCTCGATATCTCTAAGGTTCCCGAGTTATGAGGGGAAATACAAATAAACATACGTACAAAACATACTGAGAACCCTCTTCTTTTGAAGTCGATCAAAAAGTAATATAAGTGATGTAAACGATGCTGAGCGATAATGTCGAATATTGCAACGACAAGATGACGCGAGATGAAATGTTCTCATTCTCGAGTACTTCCTCGATTTGACACGTAGGCGAATGTTGGTCGAAAGAAATGAAAAATGTAATAAGATTGAAGCAAGACTTTATTCTTCATTCTACACAGTGTACAGAGGACAGTGAGAGGAGAGTGATATAAACTCGCGTCAAGTATTTTGAAGTAAATTTTAAACTTCAAGAGTAAGCCGTTCGATTGTTTGCTATAATCGACGGATAGCCGAGTAATTTTACCGGCTTGATTTTTTTTAGCAAGATATCGGGGAAGTGTTTGCTGCTGCTGTCGCTGATACTCGATTTTGCAGAGGTAAACTTTCTATCCCCGCGTCGCAGGGAAGCCTGCAAATTTAAATTGAATTTCATTTTAATGACACCCATTGAACCTAGATGAATTAAAAACACGTAAAGGGATGAAGCCCTCGGACACTTTTAGCGACGTCGTCGCAGGCGGGAATGAGAGATTAACGTACGACGGATTAGTGTATCGCGCTTTCGTCAAGACAAGCTTTCATTACGACTTCGCGAACAACGTAATCCGCAAAAGTTTCGCGAGCGCGAGCTTCACGAGGAAGGCACGTTCCGTACTGTGAGAGAATTATACAAATCACTCTGTCCAAGTTCCATAATTTTTCGACGCAACTCCTCAGCACTCCGCGTGTTTTCGAGATGATACACTGAGTAGAATCAAGAATAAGACATATTACGTTTGTTAACGGATAAGGAAATTGTTAATCGCATCGCGGAGAACGATATGCTGTTCCATTAATTTATGAAAAAGTGACTAAAGAATAACTAAAAATGAATAAGTACTAACCACGTGGAGGAGGGCCATAGTAACGACGTATTCCGTTGGAAACTCCTATAACATCATCTGCATTTTACAGATTAGAGATCCTTGCTGTGATACGATTGTTCAAAACAGTGTTGAACATTGATCGAGTAAAACTTTACTTAACTAAGGCAATCGGACAAATTAAATAATCGATCATTATATATTTAATCACGGGTATAAAGTAATGAAGTTAATTATTAATTAAACTTTAATTCGATTGATTGTATACTGATTAATAATTAATTTCATTAATTGATTAAATTATTACATGAATAAAGATTGATTAATTTTAGCTATTGATCTGCCGATTATTTTAATCAAACAAAATTTTAATCAATTAATGTCCAACGTTCGCTCAAATAAAGCGTATGCGGGAAGAATTTTATAGTAAAAATTGCTATAGAATCTAGTAATCGAGGACTAGATCGACATTTTACAGTAATTGATTATCCTTTCGTGTACATCGCGAGAGGGAAAATATATAAAAATAAAAAAATAGTTTGATTCCTTAGATATTTTTTTCTTTCAGAGTGCTTGTTATTCAATTATTTATATTTTAATAGTGGATATATACTATTAAAAAATTTTCCGTGTTTTTAGTGACATTACTGTGTTGCTTATTGTGAACAGTCTATTTCTGCAGCAGTAGAAACGTTAAAATTTATATGAAAAAGAATTTACTCGAAAAATTTGTTTCAATACATTTATATGAAAAAAGAACTATAATATTCTCTCTCCATGTAGTCTCGATTTCGGCGCAAATTAATATTATCTTATTAAATCTTGAAAGGTCACAACACGAAAATGTAAGGACAAGGTGCACGTGTGTTTCCCCTGGACGGAATTTTCCCCTACGTTTGAGCGTTTGTCTCGTCGCGACACGAACTTTTGGACGCTCTCCATACGGTGAGAAGTGGACTGCTGGTTCAGGCGATTTTCGAGATCTTCGTCGCGAATCGCGTCGTCTTTCTTCAAGGAATTCCTCGAAGAGATCTGAACACGCGATAGTTACATAACGATAGTTCGGTCTACAGTTCTGGCCTGTCCAGCAGCCTCCACCTCTTTCCGTATAGGAAGTATTCAAATATTTGTGTTACACAGGACACATGTGTGCCTGAGCACGGAAAATTCGTCTCCAGGCGAAACGCAAACTTCACCTTTAACACCCTCATCTCGTAACTTTGTATTGAGGCTTAATGAAGTATCCATAAAGACGAATAGCGAGTCTACGTGCCGCTTCAACAACTTTGAACTCTGCTCAAAACAATTCGGGGATTGCTGCCTCTAATGCTTGTATTATCTTGCAGATACTTGATGTTTGCATTAAATGCACCTCTCTCTCTCTTTCTTATTATTTGTCTTAAGCATTAATAAACGCATTTTTAAGCCATTTAAATTGAACGGAATTATTCATTTAGCGCGATTCTTCCTAAATCTTTTGACCAGTGCGTACTTAACCTTTCTGAAACCCTTTTAATCCAATTCCCTCCTTCTCTCTCAGAATAAATTACTAAGGGCGAGCCGCATAATTAATTTTAAATGTATACCTGCATCGTCCTCATCTTTTAGCATCGTGAGTTTTATCTTCCATATATGACCGGTCTCCTCTGAAATTGGAAATACATCTTATAATATTGCTAATCTTATAATATTCCTAAAGTCGGCCTTCCAGTTTTATTTGTGTTTGCAACGGATTTTTTATTTTACTTCGTTGACCTTTTAATTTTATTCGCAACGGTCTAATGTAAAATATAATCGTGAGAACGCGTACAATAAGTTATAGTAAAAAGTACATAATTTCTAGAAATCATTATTTTGGTTAAATTAATAGACTGAGTAGGAATTCTTGTTAAGCTTACTGTCGCTTAAAATACCATGTCCGACCAGATCTACTTCCTGCTTCGGCTCTCGGATGCGCCCATGTGCAGGCCGAATGAAGCCCGCGCCATACACCACTGAAATATTAAGAAATTTCACTTAGTTCGAAAGGGGCGAGTTAAATTAATGCATCATGAAATGGCACGCGTAGATGTTCCGTGAAGCAAGATGTTTTCAAGTATCGTTTAAAGGAATACTATACTTGAAAACTTTATCGACAAACTACTATCTTTCTTCTGCAAACTCTGTGTCGCTTACACAAGATCGCAAATTTTTTTGCACGATTAAAGTACAAATATTGCTCAGTATGACAAAAAATGATAAAAAAATTTCAAAACTGACGCCTTGAACCGTCGGTTGTAAATATTTGCTTGAAATAAAAGTTCTACAGCTTTTACATGTCGAACCTGTGAATACTCCGCTCAGGAAAATTTCAGAGAACATTGCTGTCTTCACACAACTGAATTTAGAAGCTTAAAAATACCCAAAAACTTCTAAAAAGATTCCTTATATGAATGGCTATGTTTGCGGCTGAAACTATTCTAAAATTACTTTAAATTCGAACGGCACGATGTGCTCTCTAAATTTCTTTGAGCGCGATTTCACTCGAAAAGTATAATGTGACTACCGAATTATTCGAATTCGAGTGATTTTTCACTCATATATAGAGTATCCTAGCTTGATTTCATAATCTCTTGTAAAGACGTAGAACGGGTTAGGATAAACAAAAAAATCCAGTATCGTTTTGTGAACATCGCAATAATAATCGACATATTAATTGTAAAGGATTTATATGAATGATCACGCATGATATGGAGACAAGTTGAGATGAGTGGTGATGTTTGCCGTCATGTGCTTGCACATTAGATCAAATTGAGCAAAAAAGTCCTCTACCATTTTGCAAATAACCATAGATTTTTTACTACTAATTAAAGAAAATTAATGCACGATTTTGCGCGACCAATTTTCTTTAATGGATAACTAAAAATCTGCTTGGTCATTTGCGAAATAATACTTTTTTGTTCAGTTTAATCTAATATGTAAGCACATCACAGCACATTACAGCTCGTCTACCATATCACGCGTGATTATTCACACAAACCTTCTACAATTATTACAATAAAACAATATAGTCGCAAAACAATACAGGACTTTTGTGTTCACCTCAATCCGCCCTCACGAGAGACTCGTGAAATCAAGCTGGAGTACCCTGTAGAGTGAATTCTCCACTATGAATCGCCAAGCGAATACTTCCACTCGAAATTGAACAGCGAATCTGACGTACTCCATCGTCACACAGGAACGTGTTCGCTCTAATCGATCGAAACATACTCTCAGAGTCAGGATCCATTCTAAGCTTGAGCGAAACATTCGCTCTGGCGATTCCGAGTGGCAGTATCTTCACCGTTGCTTCGAGCGAAAGTACTGCCACTTTGTCTTGAGTGAGATTCCACCCCAAGGATTTTAGAGAGTACTACCTGGAATTATTATATCAGCGACGATCGCGACTAGCGCTAGCAGGAAGAGCCGAGAGACCATCGTGAGACGATCGTAGCGGAATTCACAACAGCTTGTTAGCACCATGCACGCTCGACTCGCTCTATTTATATCGGCGGTCGAACTGGCAATTATCTTTAGTCGCGATGATGCACGCCCGCGGCATTAAAACGCATACGTACGAAACGAATTCGCGGGCGATTATCTCGCAATAAATAAATTCCGTTTATTGCTCCGAGCGCAAATCGATGTAAGCCGGCGGAGATGGTGAGGTGCTTGCTGGTAGTAGTGACGATAGCGGTGGTAGTGGAGAGCGCTGGGGTGTGTTTCTTTCTTTATCGTCGCATAACCCATAAATACGCGGTGTGCACGCGCGCGATTTGCGCACACGTACACGAAGAAATGGCGAAGCATCGCCTCGTATGAGCGATTTAATTTCGTTGCGACGAGCGATGCATTAAAAGTCCACACGTGGAGAACGGCCGGCCGTATCACCGGCCGGGTGTAAAAACCCGCTTTATTTATCAGTGCTGTCGTCCCGTTGACGGTTTTCATTAAACCTCATAAAATATTGACTGTCGCCCGGGCCGATCTGAAATTAAGCGAGTGGATCGGGTAACGACCATCAACACCGCCGTCGCCGCCGTCATCGTCGGCGACGGTGCCTCTGCCGCGGATGATAAAATTTGTAAACGATAATCGCGTAAAACGCGCGGCGCGTTAAATGCGTAAGTTGTCTGATGGGGTCGGACGCAATAATTTGCTGAAATTAACGTTGCGAGATGATTCGACCGCGAGCGCGACCGGATAAACGCGACGATGTGTGTATGATATGATTTTCGGGAAATTAACATTACCCGAGTTGAAATTTTGGTCTCATGTTAAACCTTGTAAACGCAGTAGGAACTAAGTTAGCAAAGTAGGTTTAATTCTCTATATAGCCTCAAGAGAATTCTTCTAAACTTCAAAAAGAAAATGTCCTGAACAAAATTCGTCAAAATATTTAAATTAAAATTAATAAAATTCGTCACAAAATAATCTAGGCCTGTATTAAGGTGTACTGATACAATTAATTAATTAAATAACACTGTATTAATACAATATACTCCTACTTTGACTATGATGACATCCGAAATTTCCATCTTCACTTTCTATAGCATCAAAATAGATCGTATTATAAGCTTCAGAATATCAAAATAGTTGAATGAAATAATAAGGCTGAAAGCAGGATCAAAATTTCAGGCAGAAGAAACAGAATTAAAAAGAGGTTGATGTAGGTTTTAGAGTATCAAAATAGATGCTAGATGGAGTAGTAAAGCTGAAAGTATAGCGCGGTGATCGCTCTAAGATGCCGCAAGAATATAATATTGCGGCTGTGTGTGTACTGCGTGCAATCGATAGTCGCGCAAACGCGAAATACGGACGAGCACGATCGCCCCGAGAGAATCAAGTTGCATTAAACGTAAAAGAAACGAGGAAGAAAAGGATTGGCATCGCGTCGAATCCTTGAGGACTTCGCGCGGGCACGGGGGATGATTTACGCGCCACAGCGGTGGAGAAGCTCATGCGGGGTTAAACGACTGTTCAGTCAGCTGTCTGTGTGTGTGTTCACGGATTTCCTGTCTAATTGTAATGTACAATGCGCACGTTTCCGTCGCGTTATTTCATTTATTCTGCTTAGATACCGCGGCTGATGCACATCGCCGACTGGGGAGCAGTTAACGGCCGGGCTGCGACTGCCGAACGAGACGTCATCTCGAAATTTACGAGGAGCCGTGATTTTACGGCGACACTTTGTAATTCGTAGTTTTACGCGACCGCGCTCTACGCCCCGACAATTTCGCGCGACGCTCGCCAATTCTGGACAGTTAACTGGTATCGATTCCCGCGGCGCAAGATGATTCCGCGCGATCGCAATTGAAATCTGCTGATAGCATAAATTATGAGATGACACCTCGTAAACGGGAAAAATTGTATTCAGGCTGCAATCGTCAGTGGAAATAACCTTAATTCGATCACAGAATTGATTAAGAATATTTTTAGAGTATTATAGATATTTACTATATTAAATATTAATATTATATTATATTTAATATCAACGTTAATAGTTAATTAACAGTATTTGTAGAATTAAAAGATTTTAAGAATGTATTAATAATCATGTTACTTGGAACTTGTCCCACACAAAATATTCACTGTTCTGAACTTAGATTTGAGTTTTGTTTTATTTGAATTATATATAATATGTGCTACATTACATTGTAGATTCAGCTAAAAAACTCACCTCTCACTCTGAGATCCGTATAAATAACTGTTACTTGTAAGTCGTTTCAAGTGAGATATTTAGATACTTAGATTCGGATTCAGAGTTAAATCAGACAGATATAAATATCACATAATACAACTTGAAAAAGTAACTACTAATTAACTAACTTAAATGTAACTCTAAATAAAAGTTTGAATGTCTTACATGAGATAAGTTCCAGATAACAACTGTTAATACAAGTCTAGATTATTTTGTGGTTGGAAGAATTTTGCTCAGAACATTGCTTTTTAGAGGAATTGAAGTCATGTATAAAAGAATCCCGCTAAAGATAAAATTATATTTCTTTGGGTAAAGTATCTCACTTGAGGCAAGTTTTAAATAAGATATTCAGTTTTGAATTCAGAGTTAGATGAGAGTTTTTCAGTTGAATCGCGACTATAGATATAAATATCATATAATTCAACTGGAAAATTTGCATGTAACTCCGAATAAAGATCTGAGTGTCTCATATAAGACAAATTTCAAATGACAACTGTTAGTATGGTTCTAGAATATTTAGCAGAATCGTGCTCTGAATAGTTTCCTTTTGATTTAAAAAGAATCTTCTTGAGACCATATATAAAAAGATTTCGCTAAGGATGAGATTATGTTTCTTTGGGTGGAATATCTCAGACAAGTTTCAAATGAGATATTCAGATTTGAACTAGATCTGAATAAAGTTGTATCACGATCACAATAGTGCAATGTTATGCGTATCATAAAATTTAACTTAAAAGCTCCAAACCAAACCACTTTTAGATTTAGATCTGAATATCTCACGTGAAACAAGTAACTAATAATTACTCAATTACAAGTAACTAATATTTACTCAAATCTAAATTCCTTTATTTAAATAGACTAAACAATAGCTTTCATGAAAAGCTCAAGTCTCAAGAAAATATATATTTTATCTTAAGAATATTTTATATCAATTGCATGTATTATTAATATCTCCGCCGAATAAATATTTTTTCTATTTCTTAAATATATTTTTCTTTCAATATACCAACGATATAGACCCAAATCGGACTACGAGGAATAAAGTAATCAACGAGTGCTGCCATTTCTGTTTCAGCCAACCATTTTCGGGACGGTGGCCTCGGACCTGAATCCCAAGGACGGGAACAGCCGAAAGGTGAGTTCTCACTCCCGAAATCTGTTTCTAATCTGTCGTATTATCGTGTCGGGAAAGAGCGATTCGAAAGCGGCATTTAACAGGGGTAAGGGCCGTGCCTCCCCGTGTGTCTGGCAACGTCTGGCCGCCCCCAAGAGGGATTTTCATCTTTTCGCGCTACATCACCCCGGGGATCCCTCCGGGTACCTTAATGAGTAAAAATTGCTGCTAAGTCGCTGCCTGCGCTCCGCTAACCGCTCCGAAATAGAGCGGCTGGCTGCTCTAATTAAAAGTAACAGCGCCACCAAGTGGCCCGTCCACCCCATCCGCCGGGGTTACCCCCGCCGTCTCCTTGTAACGGGCCCTAACGCACTAAATCCCGCAAACTTTCCCTTTTCCGCTGCCGCTTGCGCGCAGCCATCCCTCCCGTAATCGCGGAATCATGCATAATGAGCGTGCATAACTACACCGTCGCCGAGGACGCTTAAGTTAAACAGCCTGAAATTCTCTGTTTAGGAGTTCTATCGCGAATAAGTAACAGCGCGACGGGCATTTCGAAATTATCGCTCGTACTCGCGGATTAAACATCGCCATTAGTCGCGCACGCGCCTCTTCATTTTGGAATACGTAGACTCGCGATGATCGAGATTATGCTGATGTTTCGAGCATAAAGGAACGTGCGGATGTGTAAAGTTAGCACTCCAACTATAGTACTCAATAATTCTGATTGGATTCTAGCTTCCTTTCGAAGCTTGTAACTTTTCTTGTTTATTAGGACTCTCATCAAAAGGAATCAAATGAGCTATTCAGAACTATTCGGACTTGATATCAATTTTTTCCAAATTTTTTAATAAAAGAAACCAAAATTTTGAACAAAATCAATTTTGTTTCTATCAGGAAGTTGTTAAAAGACATTAAATGAGCTACTTAGAACTATTCTATTGTGATGTGTAAAATTATTATAGGACCTTATTTTTATCGCTATTTTAGTATTGTTAATCGCCGGAACTCTTTTGATAAACATAAAAACATTCCTACATTCTTCAAGAGGAAGCTAGAATTCTAATCAGAAGTATCGAATATTATTGGGATGTTAACTTCACGCACCTGGAACGTCGAAAGAGATTGCACATGCACTTTTCCGCGCATGGCAAACGTGAATTCATATGCGTGACTCGTGACGCACAACGTGCAATTAATACTCTCACGCCAACGACAATAATTTAAGGACAAATAACAATGGACGGACAATGCTATTAGCTATGCGTTCATGATAATTAAACTGGCCGCGGGTGATAGCGGCGAATATGGAGATCCCAATTCGCCATTATACAGCAGCCTGAAACCAGTGCTGTATTATCAATTAAGCCAATTAAGTCTAGGCCGACGACAATGAGATGGTATGGTCCGCAACCTGGCAACGGCGGAATTTGGAACATTTCGCGAAGCGATCGTCACCAGGATTGGCGCTCGATCCTCGCGGCTGCAGGAAAGCATGCTGCACCGCGGGGGTTTATCGCGACGAGCGCACGAGTCCGGTCTCAAAAGTCCCCTTGGAGCACACCCTTCCTGCACCGCGCCGGCTTAAACCCCGCATTGAAATTCCTAAATGTTTCAAAGCTGGACTTACACCGCATTCGAAATAAGCGGCTCACATAATGCCCTACTTAAGTATGAATGGTGTATATAGTGGCCCGTGGCGGTGGAGGGCCAGTCCGCAGGTGCAATCCGTGGGTGTGTCGGCAACGAAAGCACGCCGTCGCCGACGGTTAGGTCCGTAGAATTCATTACGGCAAAGTTCTGACTGCTACATTCACGTGCTGAACATTCATTAGTCGGTTGATCGCATCCGCTTGATCGCACCCGTTAGATTTGTGTTCACTCACAGAAATAAAATGTATTTCACAGAAGTAAACTTTATTTTATATAGGAATGTAAACTTTATATTCCACAAGTAAATTTTCAAGTATTTTTTTTCTCAATCCGATATATACACCGTAAAATTTTGCATTTATATCAAACTGCGTAAAGGTATTTGTGTTAAATTTCTGGCGTGCCCGTGTGTTAATTTGACGTATCGTCGTTGTGTTGTGACTATTCTACGTTGAGTTTATAAAAATTCATCGTTTCTCAGTGTTAAAATAACGTAATTTATATGTAACATGTATATTTTTGGTGACACATATTTTCTAGCGTGCCCGTGTGTTAATTTAAAATTTAATATTGTCATTGCGTTATCTTGATTATTCTGCGTTAAGTTCGTAAAAATTCACTGTTTTTCAGTGTTAAAATAACGCAATTTATATGTAACATGTATATTTTTGATGATACACACATATTTTCTTTGTAAAGTATACACATAAGTTGTACGATTTGTTAACATATTTGCCTTGTTGTTAAATTAACAAAAATTAGAGTGGATAAATTTTGGGACATGTAAAGTGTGTTAAATTTTTTAACACAGCATTTTTTGCAGGGTATTAAAACTACTTTTATTCAAAAGAGACATAATTGGGAGGTAAGTGTTGAGGATATAAAAATAAAATTGCTTATGCATCTATAAATTCTTATCTATTTAATCTGTCTATTATAGATTGAATATCTGTTATATCTATTTATGTTACATCTAATAATCGCGGTAAGATCTTATATTGATATATAAAATGAAGTTAATCAAGTGATTTTATTTGATAAAAAGGAGGTAAAAATATTTTTTATGAAAAGGATATGCGTCATAAATCAAAGGATGTGCACACATAAGTGAAGCACCGGTCGCTAATAGCTATAAGCTAAAGTTATTTCCAAGAGGTCTTATATTAGCATTAGAATTATTTTTATTACAGCAGATACAACGGTGAATTAATGTGTTAAAGATGTAAAAATAAAATTGCTTACCCGGAAAGAAAAAAAATACTTAAAAATTTATTCGTAGAATATAAGGTTCATTCGCAAAAATGAAATTTATTTCATAGAAGTAAACTTTATTTTATACAGGAATATAAACTTCACATCCCACAAATAAGTTTTCAAGTATTTTTTTCTCTCAGTATGCCAATCAAGCGATTTTATTTGATAAAGAGAAAGTAAAAAAAGATCTTTCTGATGAAAAGGATGTGCGTCCAGAAAAGTTACCTCCAGGATTAGTATTGGAATTATTTTTATTGTAGACAGAGAATATATCTGAGGATTGATGTGTTGCGGATATAAATAACATAAAATCGCACATTGATCAAGCAATTTAAGTGGATAAAAAGAGCGTCGCGTAAATGGGACAGTAGGCGCCACAGATTAAAGCGGATGGACGTTTTGCGCGCGACGGGCGAAATCGCGAAACCACGGGATTGCTCCAAAGCGGCGGCGGCTCAGCCTCCCGGTGGCGGTGGTCCGTCTCTCGCTATTGACGCGTCGCCGGATTGTTTCGGATTTACATGTTCACGCATTGTGATTACACCCGCGACAGGATGATACGGTCGCGCGGCAGATTTCGCCGCGATGCGTTTACCGCGATGGAAGAGTAAGCACGATGGCGGCCGCGCGTCGCGGCGCGACACGATTAATACGAGAGACCGTCGAGCAATTTCGCTCGGATTTAGCGAGACGCGACCATGGCCGCGTCGTGCTGCCGCCGTTGCAGCGCGCGGAAAAAAATTTTGCACGCCCCCAAAAGAATCGCGCGAGCACGCCTGAAAAAGCAACGCCGCCCCGCTATTTTGCGCCCATTATTTAATTGCGTCCCCGTCCCCTCCCCCCTTCCCTCGCGTTTTGTCGCGGGAACTCAATTTATTAGCACGTACGGGAATACTTTGGAGCGCGCGCAGCGGGCCACCGTCGCGGACGGGTAATTAATCGCAGCCCCTGTTAATGCACCTGTATTAATGTATATGCCAATTGTATTCGGTAGCGGCCGCGCGCGATATATATCGTCCGCACGCATATACGGGGTGTCCGATTTCACAGTCTCTCGTGAGGGCGGATTGAAGTGGACGCAAAAGTCTTCCCACACTGCTTTGCGATATTCGCAATTAAATTTAACATTTTATGTGTCCCAAATCATCCTCTTATTTATGTGTAAATTTAACACAAAACAAATGTGGTAAAAAGTAACACGCATAATATGTAAAAAATTAACACAAGAATTTAAGGGGATGCTGAAGCTGAAAACTTTACCGACAGAATACTGACATTTTTCTGCAAAGTGTATTGGTTACACAGAATTACAAATGCTTTTACGCAATGAAAGTACGTGCAAAAATAAATATGAGCATTGCTTGATATGTGACGAAAACGAACAAAACATTTTTAATGTAAAATCTCAAACTGTCAGCGTAATATTTGCCTAATCCAAAAGTTTCGCAGCTTGTACATGCCGAAAGTGTGGATGCTCCAAATAGAAAAATTTTGAAGAATATTGTTCTACCTTCACATCTGCATTTGGAAGCTTAAGAATATCGAAAAAGTTTGCAGAAAGATTTCTACACGTATATGGTTAGGTTTTCCGTTGAATATGGTAAAACAAAGCAATATACATTCATGTAAATTCTATAATATACAAGAAATACGAAAAGAAGAGCATGTTTATGTTAGTGACGATCGTTTCTGCATTATCGATATTGTTCGAGTTCGTTATCGACTCCAGCATTCTCTTAACACTTGAGTACCGTCAGGAATCACAGTTTGTATTAAATTGACATTTGCATAATGTTAAATTAACTAAAATAAAACACTACTTTAACATTTGAGAGAAGTATTAATCTATGATTTTGATGAAATGAAAATGTTAAATTGATATAATCTATGTCTGATATATTAAATATGTCAGTTTAACACAACCTGTGATTCCTAACAGTACTCAAGTGTTAAATTCTTGTGTTAATTTTTTCCTTATTATACATGTTACTTTTTAACACATTTATTTTGTGCTAAATTTAACACATCTGTATTTACAGTGTATATTAAGTCAAACTGAAAAATCCTTTACCATTTTGCAAATGACCACGTAGATTTTTAGTTATTACTTAATG